TATACAGTATATATATATATATATATATGTATACAGATATATGTACTTACAAACATATACAGTATGTACATATATTTATGCATATATATAAACATATATAAATATGTGTGTATATATACATATACTGTATGTACATATATACATACATATGTATATACATATACATACATATGTACATATATACTTACATATATACACATATATACCTACATATATACATACATACATAAACATACATGTATGTATGTATGTATATGTATGTATGTATACATACATACAAAATAAAAAAATACATATATATACATATATACATACATATACATACATACATATACATACGTATACATACATACATATACATACATATGTACATATATATATACATACATATGTACATATATACATATATACATACATATACATACATAAATATATATACATATATATACATAAATATATATACATACATATATACATACATAAATATATATATACACATCAATAAATATATATGCATACATAAATATATGAATGAAAAAGAAAACTACAGCACGGGGGCACAGGTATGACCAGTGTAGCAACAACACACTGGTCAGTTTCACTTGAGGTGCAGCTCAAGTCAATCAGATGGAGTTGTTCCATGTTCTGCTTCAAATTGCTGATAATGTTCTTTTAGCAAAAGATGGAAAATTGATTTATTTTGATCTGGACTATTGTTGACACAGAGCCATCTGTACCGTACGTCCAGGTCGTTATTATTTTTTTTATTTTATTTTATTTTGAAGTGCAACAGTTTGAAAGTGAATGTGTGGTTAGTTGTACAACATACCTGTGCTAAACCCCACCACCATCGGTGCCAAGGACTAAGTGGCGTCTGAACCCATAGTTAATAAATAACACTGAGGAACAATTAAGTCAAACAAACCACGTGAATGAAGACAGTGTGGTTTCAGTTGGACAACAGTCAAAAATGGTTTGGACTCAAAAATGTGTTCAGTGATCCTGTAAGTAACACCTACACTTGATAGGTCGGTATAGGGACGGGAGCCAAGTTCTAACAGTGAAAGTAGGTCACACACACACATATAAATATATGTACACACACATTCCCTCGACGAGACGTACCTCACCGATGTCACCAAAGGCGTAGATGTTTGGAACCGACGTGGATTCGTCAGCGCCTACGATGATTTTTCCCGTCTCCTGGTTGACTTTCACGCCCAGCTGGTCCAGGCCCAGGGCCGTGGTTTCAGGGGCTCTGCCTGGTGTCGGAGTAAAGACAGAAAATCGTAAAAAAAATGTTTTCAGCCAAGTTATCACTCAGTAATATTACTGTAGGCCTAGCCCGCCGGGGAAACACCCATATATGAACTGCTGCTGACATCATTTCTGCAGAATTCTACAACTTTCACGTTTCATTATTATACAAAGACATTACAACACTGTTTCCCAAAGATTGGGTCGCGACCCTAAGGTGGGACGCGAGGGATTTTTTTTTTTTTTTGGGTGTCGTCTCGCATCATGTTTCGCAGGAGTTTATGAATAATGTCTACTGACTTGGGTCGCAAAGGTTTGCGACTTTTAAAATATGGGTCCCCCAGAAATACAACGCTACTACGACCGTAATGAAGACCACCAGGCTAGGACGCCTGCAAAGGCCTTGACCATCATCGCCCCCTGGAGTCAGTCTGTCAACACGGAGACAAATGTCAAAACATCTCATCGATGTCCTGATTTTTATTTTTTTGTTTACATCGCTGTAAACCTCGCAGCTGACAGAACTCCAAAAAGTGTTGTTTACCAAGAAACCATCTTACAACACCACCTACGTCCACAGTCGACCAATGAACATCTGCTGCTCCTCAGAGCGGACGAGCAGCTCATGCTGAAGCCATCAATCCTGTGGGACCGATGAAGGTGCGATTCCCTGACACTTTCTGGGAGGCAGGTTGACTGACGCTGTCGACACGGAGTCTCGATGGTGATGGAGCATGAAACCCCCCCCCATCCCCACCCCTAAACTGCCCCCCCACCCTCCTATAACCTGCCTGGGTAACATAATAAATAGCCCTTCTCTGAGGTACCGATGTAGATGCTATCAGACGGCAAAAACAACAAACCACCAAGACCCTTTTTCCTGACTGGAGCCTAGAACAACGCGCCCCAACAGGGGTGTGGGGGTGTGGGGGTGGGTGAAGGGAGCTGTCTACTACTCTACAGCATGGGTGGTTGGATGAGATAGAGGGGGGATGACGGGGGTGAAAAGGGGAAGCAGCTTAGTCATTAGTATTTCCCCCAAAGCAGGACTTGTAAATATTTGCTTATCCTCAAACGCCACAATACGAGGATTGTCCACGGACACGTGTTATTGTCGCGGTCGAAGTTCGAGAACATATATTTACAATATATTACACTGAAAGGTCGGTGATTAGCCATGATTGTCATTTTGGGTTAAATTTAAATGTTGTCAAAAAACAGATTTGTCATGAAATATATGTTGAAAATATACATTCAAATATATTTGTTTATAGTAACTTATCGATCTGTTATCCCTGACACATTAGTAAAGCTTTAAAAACATGGAGTTGTACTGCGGTAATGCAGTACTCTGACGAAGTACAACAACAGTGGGCTGGAGATAAGAGAGAGGGTTGCTGGAACCAGGATCCAGGGACCAGGAACCTGGGACCAGGAACCACACCAGGGCCCTCTGAAGGGAAGCCTGTTTTGACATCCAGAGGAAGCTTCTAGACGGCTAGGCTAATTAGCCATAACAAAGTCTGCCAGCTGAAATGAGAGCTGAGATCTTATCTGATTAATCAACGAACAAAGACCAAAGGGAGAGAAATAAAGGGAGATGGGGGGGAGTTAGTGGGGGAGAGGCGGGGGTGGTGTGTCCTTGATGTCAGAGAGTGGTTTGGTCCAATTATCAAAGACAAAACACTCAAAACACTAAAAAAAAATTCAGTCAAAGGCTGGAAGTGCAGTGGGGCAGTGGGTTTGAGCTTCTGACTTCATTTCTGTCTGTGTGTGTGTGTGTGTGTGTTAAATGTCATTCAGTCAAAGCTGCTCAACAACAAACCAGTTTTCAGGCCACAACCAACACATGGTCATACATATATACGCAGCATGCACGTACATATATATATACACATATATATATATACACATATATACATACATACATATATACATAAATATATACACATATATACATATATACATACATACACATAAATATATACATACATAAATACATATACAGTATATACTACTGTATATATATACAAATATACATACATAAATACATATACAGTATATATATACATATATAGATAAATAAATATATATATACACATATATACATACATACATATATACATAAATATATACACATTTTTACATGGCGTCCTTTTTAAAGAAAAACTCACTCATTTGTACGCACACATACACGTAAGCGCATGCACACATATACGTACAAACATTTACTGTATGTACATACAAATACTGTATATATATTTGTCTCTCCACATTTTCAGTGACTACAGATCATTAATCTAACATATCACTGACGTCAACAGCGACTCGTCAACTCGTCTGTCACTTCACGTCACTCCTATCGTGTCACTTTGTTTATCAGTATTTGAGTATTAACAGATAATACGTATCAACTTACAGTACTACTTGAAATATATTTACTGTATATATTTTTTTTAATCCTGACAACATATCTGCTCCGAACTGGAATGTGGGGAAAACAAAGGGTGGGGCAGCTCTTTGGGGAGGGGCGTCCTTTTTAAAAAAAAAAAAAAAAAAAGGAAACGACAACTCTATCCTTGGACGCCGATCAACGAGCGACTGTAACCGATGTGGACATTTGTCCACATGCAGACAGGAAACGTGGAAATGTTTCTGTTTCCTCCGCCGCTCCGCTGCGGGCACACACCTGGACAGGGCAGCGGCCGTGAGGCCAGGAAGGAGCTG